ATGGATGTTGGCTTCAGGTCCTCAGATCACTTCCAAAAGCATGCCCTTTCCACGTGCAAGGTCTTGTGTCTGAGTGGGTGTTCCGGTCTCTTTATAGACACTCGTCAAATCTAGAGTGGCCCCTCGTTTCAGCCATTGTGGCACCAGGTGGCTGAGGAATTAGAGAAGGGGCACTTGTAACGCTTCCCAGGTGGCACTTCTTCTCTTTGCACTTGAAAGGGGCTCCCCTCGCACCACCCGCTGTCGCGCTGGCGTTCGTTGGCGCACCTGGGGCCCCCAGCATGGTGCAAACCACCACCACCAGCAAATTGGCTCCTGGCGCCGCGCGCGAGAGCTGCCAGGGTACGTCATACGGCGGCTTGGTGGCGAGCAACGTGCGTTTTCGTGTGGAAACGATGAGAAAACGATAGAAAACTGAGGTCACAGCGCGTGTCTGTGCCTGATGTAAACCCAGCAATCCTTGGGTTGAACATGGTCGAATCTTCTTCGATAATGGACATCCCCAATGGACATGTAGCAAACCAAAGTGTTCACATAATTACGTCTGAAAGAAATACGACGATCTGCATCCCTCAAGCTAGTTCCGGGAAAAAATGTTGGTTCTCAAAGTTGTTAATTAAATCTGTTGACCACAGGGTGTTCCTCATTGTTCCTCATGATTTTGCCGCAGACTCAAACATTTGTTGCAAGGAAGTGCCCGACTGGTGCTGGTGCTTTCTGGACCTGTCAGAACAGTTTCAAGCTAAGACCGTTAAGACCCTTGCAGCTACAAAAGCGTGGCACTGGTGTACCCTGGTGTCAACCTTGTGGGTCGCAGTCCGCCGCCAAAACCTAAACCCACGCGTGTGTCGTGCGCTTGATGGTCGGATGGTCCTGAAAACCGTCTAACTTCTCAGAACGTGCTTGATGGTCGGAGGGTTCACAGGTGTCTGAGCTCGTTCACAAGTGAGTTTTGTTCACCGCCTGTCGTCACCTGACTGGGAACACCATCAACAGCTCCATGCGTTCCTTCCATCCATGGGAAGTGTTTCCTACGGAGCTTGAGATGAAATCCACCAGCCTTGCAATGGCGGAGTGTCATGGTGTCATGTCCATCACTCCTAATGCGCTGGCCGCAAAGAGCAGATAGCACGTCTTCAGCACTGGAGAGGACCCCTCAGGCACCTCCACCTGGACAGGATCCGCAGAAGGCCGAATTGTGGGCTCTTCCAATCAGCTAGATGCAGCTAGTAAGCTGCAGCTCAGTACGTAGAAGTGATGCCCCATGAAAGACCCCCCTCTGATGCCTTTGTTTGTCTTCAAGTCAACGTAGTTGTCCTAACAATCTCATCTCCGTATGTTCCAAGCTTTGACATGATAATTACACGAATATATCATATATATATATATATAGAGAGAGAGAGAGAGAGACCAAAGGTCCGTGTCGCCTTCTCATGGTCCGATGGTTTCCATCCAACATCGCACGGGAGGTGTCGCACCCCCGGGTCCGACCCTCCCGTTCCGTCTGTGGTCACCGGACAGGTCCGGACCGGCCGCGGAACGAGAGGTCGACGGACCGCGCGGCGCGGTCGACCGCACCGCGCGCGCCTGGATGGCTGTGGAGGCAAAACCTGCCAGCAGCGCAGAGATGGTCCTGGCGACGGGGTCGGGTCGGGATGCTGCAGCTGTCGGGGAGGTCGGGAGGGTTGGAAAAAGGGGGAGGGTTGGGTCGGAGACCATCGGATGGCCTGTTGCAACCCCAGCCTTGAGATGCCTTGAGGTTCGTGGGGTGATTTCACCACTGAAAAGCGAGGTGCACAAACCCATGGAACAGTTGCAAACAAAACCGGTGAGAACTTCTGCACTGGTTTTTCGTGCCTGGAGGTCCGACCAGCATCGACGTCGGCTTCGCATTCGACATCAACACTTCGACTAGAAGGTCCGATCACCCAAAAGAGATCACGCCGGCACGGCGAGATGCGCTCAAAGACCAGTAGGTAGAAGTCAAGCTCCATCTTGCGGACCTGGCAGGCACGACCAAACCAGGCAAAAAGACAGGCAGTGTTGACTCTTGAATCCAAAAAACCCTCTAACATGGAGATGTAGCACCATTCCCGTAGTGGGGGGTTACTAATCAACAGCTACATGATGTTCCTGGCCAAAAGACTCATCATTTTAGTGATTCCTATAGGTCAAGTTGCCAGCCAGCTCCCAGCATCCCAAAATATCTAAAGCTTCCAGCTGAGTTCGGTCCGCTTCGGAGAGAGACGCTTTCTCTTCGTGTCAAGGTGACGTTGGAAAGGGCCGCCCTTAACAGGTGAAATGGGTTGCTGAAGCTGAAGCTGATGCTTCTTTCGGCTGTTGGGGTGAGAACCCAAGAATTCTACTCAGGCAACGACCCGAGCATTTGAGAAACAGCAAAATGACGGACAGCAAGATAGGTCCAATAGGAGAAACTGCCTCAATCTCGAGGTTTGTACCATAAAACCCAACACTATCAAAGGTCCAGCTGAATGATTTGGAGGTCCTCATAAACCTTACCGGTGTTGGCCCCAACGTCTGGGATCAACATGTTGCGAGCTCTGCTCTTCTTTTCAGTTTTT